CATTCATACTCTTTTATGTCTTAATTGGTTTGGCCAAAATGTCTCTTTAGTTTTTTTATATAAAATAAAAGACACATTTTTCATTTTCACCAATAACTATTGATTTGGACATTTTGAGTATGTTGAAGCCAAGGGTGCTACTAAACATCTTCCAATGCGTAAGACAGCCCCACAGGCAAGAATTATTTGGCAAATTTTTCAATAGTACCAAGAAACTTCACAAGCCACTTTGACATGTTCAATCAGGCACAGCACCTTCTCCTGCAGGCACTGCACAACTGCACAAATCTTTTTTTTTTTTTTTTTTGGCATTTCAGTTGCATTTTTACCTTTCTTTAAATAATAAAAGTGTAATACACCAAAATGTTATGAAGTTTCTTCCATCTTCAATATTAAAATGGTTGCACAAAAATTCACCAATTTTGATTTTTTTTTTAAATGCATGCTGATATGACAGCTGTCACAATACAGTCCAACAGAATTGTTTCAAATGAAGTTAACGACAACTAAGTGGTCCTAGAACCGTCTTACAGGAAAAAAAACTAAAGTTTTTGGCCAACCCAGTACCTTTCTGTTAAACACACACACACACACACACACACACACACACACACACACACACGTGTCTCTTAAATTGTTAACCATCATCATTCCATCATTAATTATATCTCTTATTGACTAGTGATAGAAAGCTAATGTGGTGTTCTCAGGAATTCAGGAATTATCAAAAAAAAAATTTGAGCTGCATTTGCTTTGGATATTTACCTCCTATTTCTGAAATTTTCTCAGAAGGGGAAAGAGGACTGAGAAGGTGGTGTAACTATTTCTTTGTTGGGTTTTCTTTTTTTCCCAGTCTTACTGTTTCTTGAAGCTCAAATTCCACAGCAGAATACTTTTAGAGACATCTTGATTCTATTAGAATTTGCAGGTCAAAGGGCAGGTTCAACTGTTCTGGTAGTTTAAAGCATCAAGAATGGAGTGAATAGACCACTTTAATGGCTTAAAGTTGGATTTTTGCTACTACCTACTCATTATGCAGGTAATATGGCATGTTAGTCATGCATTTGGGCGTTTCTAATCACTTTGAATGTTTCTGTGTCCACATTTTCAATTTTTTTTAACTGAGGAAAAGAACTAATAGAACAAAGAGAGTAATTTAACGGGAGGAGCATTGCAGTTTTTATGTTGCTCTGGGTTTGTGGCATCCATGTATTTTATTTGCTTGTATTATTCCCTAAGGGCTCATGGGAAATGAAGTCAGAATGTGGTAAACTTCTGAAAGTCAATTGTTAATCCCCATCAAGGTTCATTTTCTTCAAACCGTATTAGAATTAGAGTAGGTGAATTCCAGTACTCAAGCAATTGACTCTGATTTAAAAAGGAACTATTTCTGGTATTTTGTATTTTATTTTTTTTAAATTTTTATTTATTTATTTTTAGAGAGAGAGGAAGGGAGGGAGAGAAACATCAATGTGAGAGAAAGACATCAATCAGTTACCTCTCATACGTGCCCCAACCAGGACTGAACCCACAACCCAGGCATGTGCCCCGACCAGAAGTCGAACTGACAACCTTTTACTTTGCAGGAGTACACCCAGCCAACTGATCCACACTGGTCAGGCCTATTTTCTTTTTTCATAGTGTTCTGTATCTTTCAGTTTTTCTTCAATGAATGCATATGAATTTTATCAGAAAATACCTTTTTTCAAAAAAGCAATTAAGAGTAGGTAGCTACTAAAATAAGATTTTTTCTTTTTTTGCAATTTGCTTTTTTTCACTCTGAATTCTATTCCACCTGTCCTTAACAAATTTTTTTAATGTACATACTTTTGAGTGCTGTCTTTAACACTTAACCACATAAGATCAACTATACCACATGGTCTTCTCTATCAGATGTATTAAGGGAACAACAATTTTTCTTATTCCCCAAAAGTTACATGGCTGTGGCTATTTTTTTTTTTCAAGAGATTGTTCTCCCTTACAATGTCCATTTCAAATTTACCAAAATTTGGATTAAAAAAAAAATACTATCTCCATTTCTTTGCAAAAACAAAAGAAAAGCTAAAAAACCCATAAAAGTTACTGACATCACCTAGAGTTTACATGAGTGTAAGTGCTGGCGGCGAAAATGGCACCAGGTGTTATACCTTGGTGCAGCAACCTCAGCACTTAAGTTCTGGCTAAGAAAGAATTCAGAACCTAATCTCAAACTTTAAGAGACAATTTAGAAAGTCACAGAGGTAGAAGAAGTGAGTCATAGAAGATACAGGCTCAGGAAACAAGCGCAAAGGAAAGAGCGCTTGAAACTGTGAGAGAGGCACAAGAAACACAGCTGGAGGAAAGGGGTGAGGAAAGGCTTGAGTGTGCTCTGTAGGGAGAGAGCCAGGCTAGATCTTTCCTAAGGGCTTATACAGGTGGGGATTTAAGGGGAGGGTCTCAATAGAACATTCATCAGCTTTCCAGGTGTGTCCTGTTAGGGTTCTGGACTGTACTGATTGGTCATTGCCAGGGCAGGGGTCTAATTAGTCAATGCAGCTGGTCCTGGAATCCTCACTTGTCTGTTTGCTGCTTCTCTGGGCCTGAAGCTGAAACGCAACTGAGGCCCAGGTGATATCCCTAGGGGTTAACGCTTGAGGGAGTGGTCGTACAAGGGCTCTCGTGGGAGTTGAATGAGGTCACTCTTTAGCCCCTTGTTCCTCCTTCAAGGGGGTCTGCTACATGACTAGCCACATGCCAGAGGAGGGTCTAAACATGACCAGCAATGTGAAAGATCAGGGTGTCTACTGCATGACCAGCGATGTGCTCTAGCAGATGTTCCCTAGAAGGAAAGGTCACGCTGGGGGGCAAGGTCCTTATTTTCCCAACTTCGCCTGTTGCTAGGCCCTGGGGCTTTCCGCCCTGGTGACCTTCTGTACCTGGCCCATTGTCCTTGCTCCACTCATGTCTGTTTAACTGCCTAACCCTTAAGTACAATATGTAATCAAAGCATTTTATTCTCTTGACTATAAATTGCCCTTTTAGGCACATACACATGTAGAAATGAATGTCAAGATTATACCTTTAAAATGAGAAGGACAGTGGTATGTTCATCTATTAGGGGATTTTTAGAGGGTGAAAGCCATGGGTGTGGAGAGAAAGTATGATTCTGTGCAGTTCAAAGTATATTATCAATGCTCAATAAAAGATAAATAGATATAAAAATTCTATTTGAATTGTATATAAAACAAAAGACTTCAAATTATATCTTATTAAAAAGACATTATTCCAATAATATCTTTTGTAGCTCAGCCTCGCATGCTACATCCTATATTTTAAAATTTAAAATCTGAATTGTCACCTGTTGCTATTTGGGAATGTGACATTTTACCCCAGAGATTAACTGTACCACACTAGCTGGCCAGGTATATCGTTTATAAAAGAATTTGGAATTCAGTCAAGAAGTTTCAACAATATAGAATAATTTTTACTATTATATATTATGAAGCATAGAATGGAACTGAGATCCCGTCATCTTTGTATCTTGCATCCAGCAAAAATGCTCGTGGCTCAATCTAACTGAATTAGAATAATCTATCTTTATTCATTTTTTGTTTGCCTGCAGCTAATTTGTAATTCTGTCAGGGCACAGAAATGCAGCACCCTAATTGAGAAAGCACATTTCTCATTTCAGCTTTGTCAGTCTTTGAGATTCCTAAAAAGGAACAGATGATAGCAATCAACAGGAAACTGCACAGTGACACTATCTTGAACTCCTTCACCTTTAAGCTCATTTCACCACTTAACATATTTTTTTCAAGTGGTCAGTGGATATATTTAGACCATCATTATCCCTTTGGTGTTGACTGGAGCTTCATGGAATACACCATCTGCCATATCTTAGAATTATATAGTGTGTGGAGACAGTGGAAAGTTATACTGAAATCGTTGAGGCTCTTCTTCCCTTCTAACAGCAAAGTCTAATTAAACAAATCTTCATTTCCATAATGTAAACTAATCTACAGCCTCCTTTTGTTCAGAGTTCCCCAGACCTACCCATCCAGAACACAAATCCTTCTCAGAATATTAAGATAGTCTTCCAGTTTGTGGCTAAACTAAAACTCTTCCATATGACTGCTATTGAAGCATAATTATCTTAACAAAGACGGAAGCAAAGTTAAACTTGGGCAGTGCATTCTCAGATTCATTTCCTTGTGTCATAAGCTTAGGTCACTTATATGGTTCCTGTAAATCAAATCTGTCTTCTCACAGATGACTTACATAAAAGATGAGCTATTGAGGAGCACATTTTAGACAATGAGACTAATTGCTCACCAACTTCATTCTGATTATTTTATAAATTCCTCATGTTCACCCCCTACTAAATCCCACCTTCTCTTCCTTCTGGATAGTAACCAAAGAGTAGTTAGCTAAACCACAAGGAATCTGTGAAGTTTAAATTATTGTTTCAAAGCGTGCATAATCATTTCCAAAAAAGCCATGACTGGAAATTTAATTTGCATTAATGACATAAAAAGAATTGAATTATAGACATTCAGAATTCCCCAGAAACAGAGGGCTGAGTTTCTGAATCCTTATTACTAACATTTACAATTTGTTGTACACTCTATACATAAAAATATTTTCAGTTCCGCTAATGCCTTATTTTACATGAAAGCAACTGAATAGTTATCAAAATGAGCTAAATGGATAAAGTGTATAGATGACAAGATCGTTCTTACTTTAAAAAAATTATTAACCTTGTTTACTTTTCAAATTTAACTACATCTAGGAACTCTTTATTGAGATGTCAGTATAACGCGTGATAAAGATATTTAGAGTAAGAAAAACCTGAATGGGATTCCTGGCTGCACCCTTTTTACTTCAAGTGTAAATGTGGGCAAGCTATGTAAACTCACTAAGCCTTAGTTTCATCACCCATAAAATGGGTATAATAACAATAGGAACTTCAAAGAATTGTTTGAGGATTAAGTGAAAGCCTTGGCATTTTCTTTCTTCTGCAGGCAAGAAGCTCTTCTGGCTGCCATTAGTGAAAAAGATGCCAATATAGCTCTTTTGGAGCTTTCATCCTCTAAGAAAAAGACTCAGGAGGAAGTGGCTGCACTAAAGCGGGAGAAGGATCGTCTGGTGCAGCAGCTCAAGCAGCAGGTATAATTAAATGCCAGGAGGGTCGCTGGGACCAGCTCCCATGTCCTTGCCAGCTTATATATTAAGGTCTTGGGTCTCATGTCAGACATCTGATCTTTGTATCTAGTTAATTTTCTTTTTTTTTTTTTTTTGGACTTTTATGTCTTTTTGTGGTTGTTGTTGACACTATTACAGATGTCTCCATTTTTCTCCTCTTTGCCCTCTTCCACCCAGGCCCTGCCCCCGCCCTCCCGCTTCCTTCAGGCCATAACCTCACTGCTCTCTGTGTCTGTGTGTCATGCATGTATGTTCTTTAGCTAATTCCTTCACCTTCTTTCATCCAGTCCTCCCACCTTCTAACAGCTGTCTGTTCCATGTATCCTTTTTTAAATTAAGTTTATTGGGATGACATTGGTTAATACAATTATATAGGTTGCAAGTGTACAGCTCTATGATACATTATCTGTATATTGCATTGTGTATATACTGTATACTGCATAGTTAATCTTTATAAGCTGAGTTGTCATCTTTGCAAATCTCTGGCTATGTCTAGGAAAAGCAGAGTATTTTTGGTAAGAGAACTAGTTTAGAAAATGTCACAAGTCTTCTGTGAGAGTGTTTCTTTAACTTTGTGCAATGATTGGATGAAATTAGTGAAATTCTGTCCATTTGAAATGAAAAAGGCTTATTTTTTTAATAGCCAGTTAGATTCCTACTACAGAAGGCACTAAGTATATTTTATTTATATGATTATCAGTTATTCAGGGCTGGGTAAACTCTAAAGGTAATAAGTGTATTTTATTTATATGATTATCAGTTATTCAGGGCTGGGTAAACTCTCAAGGTAATAGCAGTTTTGCCCTTTTCCAAATTTAATGATTAATATTTCTTAAGGCCTTTATCTGTGAAAATAAAAGCTAAGTTTGTCCTTTGATGTTTGCACAACAGTGTAAATATACTTAATGGGCAGAACTTGCACACTAAAAATGGATAAAATAGGCCCTGGTTGGTGTGGATCAATTGGTTGGAGCATTGTCCCGGGGAAAAAGAGGCAATCAATCAATGTTTCTCTTCCCCTTTCTCCCTCTCCTCCCCTGTCTCTAAAACCAGTAGGCATGTCCTCATGTGAGGATTAAAAATAAAATGGGTAAAATGGTAAATTTTATGTTGTTTATTTTACCACAATTTAAAAACTGGGGGGAAAATTCTTCTTTGAAAATAAGGAGAAAAATGTATGTTTAAACCTGCGTCCCCTTCTGTATTGTTAATGCTCTTCGCTGGCCGTCGCCGTACGATTTGCGGTGGCCACCATCCCATCTTCCAGTGTCACCCCTTGCATTCCCAGTCACGTTTTCTGTGTACTTCGACTGCCCACAGTTGCTCTTCTGCCTGAAATAATCAGACTAAGAACGAGTTTTTCAAGGGAAGGAATTTCTTCTTCTCTGTTTTGGGTGATCAGTCATCAATTGATAGCATTTTTGGCATAATATGTAATGTCCAAATCAGCAAGAAACCGTATTTACATAATGAAGATATTTTCTCTGTTTGTAGGCCAATATTAAAACTGCTTAAAAATAGACTTTATGTTTACTTACATGGCTGCCTTTGCTGAGAAAATACTAAAAGATGTCCCTTTTCTATAGTATTAATAGATGACTAATAGAAACAACCAACCCATTGCTCATTTACAAGTGTAAAAAGCTTTTCCAATGTCCTAAAGTGATTTTTCACAAGAAGAGAACATCATCCAATATTTGGATGCCTGTTTAAGTAAAGCAGAAAGAATGTGCTTATTATTAAAGACATCTTTCCAGTAGTTCAAGACTGAAATTTGGTTTATCAAAGCTGATAATATGAGTACAGTGCTCACTGCCATTGACCAAGGGGTGGGGACAATGGGGAGATGCTGGTCAAAGGGTACAAAGTTTCAGTTACACAGATGAAAAAGTTCTGGAGATCTAATGGACAGCATGGTGGCTACAGTTAATAATACTGTATTGTATGTTTGAAATTTGCTAGAAGGATAGACCTTACATGGTCTCACCACACCAAAAAAAATGGTAAGTATGTTAGGTGATGAAAATGTCAGCTTCATGGTGATAATCATTTCATAATGTATACATTTAGTGTTAAAACACCACACTGTACACTTTAAATACATACAATTTATATTCGTCAATTGTACCTTAATAGAAGGGGGAGCTGATAATATAAAATAGGAGGCTATTGTGCAGGAAAGACTATCACTAGTTTGTGAGTATATATATTTAGCAATATCAGTTTTCTTAAGTAGTAGTTAGGCCTGAAGATACAGACATATGATTTGACGAGTTCATGGTCCCTCTACCTTAAGAATAGAATAGAAAAAAATGTCTAGCAGACTAGAATACTGTATCTCATTCACAGTGGCTTTTGGTTATTTGGTTGCAAGACTGTATGTTTTCATTAGGTGAATATTAATATTAATTAATCCATGATTATAATGTTAAAAAGGAATTGCTGAAAAATTCCCAACATCTTACATCTAACTATATGCCTTGAATATTCTATAGTGATGTGACATATATATATGAAGAAAAATGATGTAGTTCTTAGGAGCCCTTCCTAACAGTGTTTTTCTGTCTCCCTTCCATGTAAAGTTTTACGTATCTGCCCTCTCAAAATGTGTCAAGGAGTATTTCAGTTTTTTTCTCATGACTGAGTAATATTCCATTTTATATGTGTACCACATCTTATTTGTGACAGCATCATGCTAAGCAAAATAAGCAGACTGAAAAAAGTCAAGAACCATATGCTATCACTCATCGGTAGAATATAAAACTGAAAGCAAAAAATGAACAGAAGAAAAAACGAAAAAAATTCATAAACCAGAGGGAAGGGAGAGAGTTGTAAAGGGTAAAGGGAGTCAAATATATGGTGATGGAAGAAGATTGGATTGTGGGTGGTGGGCACACAACGCAACAGACAAACGATGCGTCAGAATTATACATTTGAAACCTATTTAATTTTATTATCCAAAGTCACTCGAGTAAATTTTTAAAAAAAAGTGTCTAAGATGTTGTGAGCAGAAGGAACTGGTCTTGCCAAATACATTTCGATTCTTTAATTTCTCTAAGTGTGTTTACTGACTTTTCGACAAGGAGAGCCTCTTTTGGAAAGAAGATGCGGCATCAATGCTATCTTAATATAAAGCTCCTAGTCCTTGAATTGCTGGAATGTGCCTCAGTCTGAAGGCCATTTTCTAACAAGGAAGCAGTCAACATTGGCCAGGCTCTCCAGTGTGTGGAGCTGTCACTGCCTAATGGGCTGTTGGCATTCATGTGTGACTCCCATTGTCAGAAAGAGGTGAAGCAACAGGGGGTTCACAGATTTGGAGATCACCCCTGAGGTGGTCCCAGTTTCCTTACGCACATACACCCCCAGGATGACTTGTCTCCCTGACTCATTCATGGCAAAGCAGCACTTCAGAGGCTGCATCAGAGAAAGGAGACAGGGCTGGTGAAAAAAACAAAACAAAACAACTAAAGGTTATCAAATGAACTCCAGATGTGTTATGGTTGGCGCCAACCAGTATGTTCACATTATATGAAGGGAGACCCCAAAAACCCTGGAATTTATTTATAAAAAGTATCTATTCTTACATGTTTAACCTTCAGCCAGCTTCAAAGTGCCCTCCATTTGATGCAATACACCACTTGAGATGTTTTTTCCACTGCTCAAAACAGTTTCTGAACTTGTCGATTTTGATGTCTTTTAGTGCTTCTGTCGTTTTTTGTTTCACCTCTTCCATATCAGCAAAGTGTTTGCCTTTGAGGGTATTTTTTATCTGTGGGGGGTGGGGGGAAAGTCGCTCAGGGAGAGATCCAGTGAATAGGGAGGGCGGGGCAAGGGGTCATGACATTTTTGGTCAAAACCTGCTGAACACTCAGCTCGATGTAGGCAGGTATGCTCGTAAATCACCCATTATGAAATAGCAAACGTGTTGAAAGAGTCTTTAAAAAAAAATCACTGAAGCTGAACTCAACCTCTCACACCACCACCAGCTGGTACACTGATATAGGTGGGTTCCTAAAAGACTCACCCAGCAGGGGAAGCCAGTACTACAAGGGGCCTGCCCTCCAGAAGATAATTCCAGGTTTCTTTGGGTCCCCCCTCGTAATTCAGCTTATTTTATGTTTAGAGGTGGCAGTACTCTCTCAGGACTAAACATGCTGTGGTAAAAACAATATGCACCCAGGAATGCTTCACTTCACATTCTGTCTACTTTGAGCAGTCTGCAAATCACTCCTAAAAGCACCCGCTAGCTGGAAGCCAGCCTCCCAAAAGCTTTGACCACCCTGAGTATATAGAGACTGTTCCAGTTCAGAGTGATTACAGAGGAGAGTTTGATCCCCTAGGTCCCTACCTATGGGTAGTGAAGAGATATTCTAACCTTGCTCTCCAGGAAGTAGCCTGCCTTGCCAATCTGCTTGACCTTTACCTGGGGTTAAGAGAATTATCCACTTCAACTCTAATACTGCTAAACCTTTATCACCTGTGAACATGACATACACGATATAGTGAGCAATTACAGTCTTTATCTGAGAGCAACCAGTCAGAATAGGCATTTCAGGATATTGGCTCAACACTTGTTCTTAAAGAATAGTGACCACCCACTTGAGATTCCAACTGCATTAATTTGAGTGCTTTTCAGGATGAGTTGCTTTATGGAGAAAAGAAAATAGAAAATCATTATACTTTTAAAAAATAATCTGGGCTACTCTGCCTGTGGAGTAACTTTATGCCTCACTGCTTCAGTAATAAACTTTCACTTTAAACTCTAAAAAAAGAATTAAAATTAAAAAATTAGCCCTGACCAGCATGGCTCAGTTGGTTGGGTGTCATCCCACAAAGCTAAAGGTCACTGGTTTGATTCCCAGTCCAGGTTCAGTCCCTGGTCAGTGCACATGCAAGAGGCAACCAGTCAATGTTTCTCTTACATATTGATTTTTTTTTCTCTCTCTCTCCTCCTCTCTTCCCTC